AATATTATGTTCCCACTCCTTCAGAAACGTTACATTCACACCTTTTTGGTGACGTTACATTTGCACCTTTCGGTAACATTATATTCGCACTCTTTTGGTGACGTTACATTCACACCCTTTTGATGATGTTACATTCGCACCTTTTCAGTTACGATACATTCGCACTTTTTTTGCTCCTGAATTGTTCGCATTCTTTCGGTCCCAAACCGTTAACACCCTTTTGGTCCCGAACCATTTGCACCCTTTCGATCCCGAACCGTTCGCAACATTTTGGTCCCGGCACGTTTTCACCCTTTCGGTCCCGACACGGTCACACCCTTTTGTACTGAACCGTCCGCACCTTTTCGGTCCCGAACCTATCGCACCCTTTCGGTCCCGACATGTTCGCACCCTTTCGGACCTGACATGTTCGCATCCTTTCGGTCCCGACACGTTCGCACCCTTTCGGTCATGAACCGTTCGCACACTTTCGGTCATGAACCGTTTGCATCCTTTCGATCCCGACACGCTCACACCTTTTCGGTCCTGACACGTTTACACTCTTTCGGTCCCAACACATTCGCATCCTTTCAATCCCGACATGTTCGCATCCTATTAATTTATTCTTGCAGAGACCACATTAAACTTTTAAAGATCATTTAGATCTTTATAATGAATCAAACATTACATTCAAGAGTAATAAGATTCATACTTATATTAGAAAATAAAGCACACAAATTTTCTTTAAGAATTTCATCTGTAAAATGTTCTATTTATAGTAATCTAAAAAGGTATATTGATAGATTATCAAGAGGTGTGTTTTGTTTTAAAATGCATATTTTCAAGAGTTGCGAGGAAAAGTATGACTCTTCAAATTAAAGAGATCTGTTGTTTGAAAAAAATAACTGCTCATAGTAAATTTAATTTAAGTATACAAAAAATTATTAGGACCTATAGAAAAAAAAATAAAACAATTATAACCAGAAGATTGTAACTTTTCAAACATGAAAAAGTATGATTCTTTCATTTAAAAAGAATTGTTGTTTGAAAAAATATGTTAATTGCATAAGTATCCTAGGTCTAAAAACATTTTTTAAGACCATTACATGAAAAAAAAAATTGTTGAAAGATCGTACAATTTCATTAAAAAAAACTGAAATATATTAGTTTAAAAGTAGCATCTTTTCATTCTTAAAACAGTTGTATCTTTAAAAAAAAATCTTTTAAAAGTTGCATAAAAAATTATTCGGAACATTAGATGGAAAACAAAACAATGGTTGAAATGTTGTATCTTTTCATAAAAAATTAAAATATAATAGTCTAAAAGTTGCATCTGTTCATTATAAATAGAATTGTGTCTTTTCATAAAAAAATATCTATTATTTTAAAATTTGAATCTTTTCATTATTAAAAAAATTGTGTTTCAGATCAGGTAGTTTAAAATTATTTAAAAGAGGTTATAAGAATTGTGTCTTCTCATAATAAAAATTGTTGAAAGGTTGTATCATTTCATATAAAAACTGAAATATTAGTTTAAAATTTGCATCTTGTCATTTTATTTTTGTTTTTTTTTTGTAACAATTTGCATCTTGTCATTATAAAAATAATTGTGTCTTTTCAAAAGAAAATTTTCTTTTTAAAAGTTGCATTAAAATTTTATTTGAACCATTAGATAAAAACAAAACAATTATTGAAAGGGTATATCTTTTAATAAAAACTAAAATATATTTTTCAAATGTTTCATATTTTTATTATAATAGAATGGTGTCTTTTCATAAAAAAGTTATTTATTGTTTTAAAAGTTGCATCTTTTCATTATAAATAAAGTTGTGTTTCAGAAAAAAAAATAGTTTAAAAGTATTTAAAAGAGGTTATAAGAGTTATGTTTTCTCATAATAACAATTGTTGAAAGGTTGTAGCTTTTCATGAAAAACTGAAAAATATCAGTTTAAAAGTGGTATCTTTTCTTTATAAAAAAAAATTGTGTCGTTTAAAATAAATATTTTAAAAGTTGCATAAAAATTTAATGGGACTATTAGATGAAAAACAAACAATTGTTCAAAGGTTCTATCTTTTATAAAAAAAAAAACTGAAATATATTAGTGTAAAAGTTGCATCTTTTCATTATAAATAAAATTGTGTATTTTCATAAAAGAAATATCTATTATTTGAAAAGTTGCATCTTTTCCTTATAATTGTTTTTTTTTCAGAAAACTAGTTTAAAATTATTTAAAATAGATTATAAGAGTTGTGTCTTCTCATAATAAAAATATCTATTAATAAAAAATCTCCAATTAATATTTAAACTTGTGTATTTTCATAAAAAAAAACTGAATAATATTTGTTTTAAAATTATTCTTTTAAATTATTAAATGGTATGTCTTTTCCTTAAAAAAAAATCTCTATTAGTCTCAAGAGTTAATAAAAATATATTAATAATATAAAAACCTAAATTAATATTTCAATTTGTCAAAAAGGTATGACAAATATGATTGTGGCTTTTAAAATGAAATATATGTCTCTTGAAAGAAGAGTTGCATAATTTGATGACACAACAATCTTTCCAAATGATATTTTTGGTCCGTTAGATCTTAAAATCAAGTAATTTTTCACCGTTAGATTGATTTTTTTTTCTTTAAAAAAAATGCTGATGTCAGAAGTGGTTTTTTTTTTTATAACACTGATACGTAATAATGTTCGAGGCCATACAAATGAGAAAGAGTAATAAGAGAAAAGAGGAGATGTCAGTAGACATCAAAACAATGATGAAATAAAACCTCATCCAACTTCTAATTGCTGAGCCTCCAAAGCAAGTAGGTGATGTAACCAAACGGGAGCATTGCAGGCGATGTAAGACTGGTGGCGGTGATCGCGAGTGACACTTATTGCAATAGCGTCAGCAGCTTCATTGCGTTCTGGTAGTGCATGATCTAGACTCCATAAAGCAATCCGGTCGAGCAGGAAGGAGATGTTGTGACGCATATGGTTGAGGCTTCGATGGTCATTCGGATTTGTCAATGCGGCATGGAGATTCTCCGAGGAAGTCTCAAAAATAATATTCGAAAAATGCAAATTTTGAATGCATTCCACTGCCCAAAAAAGTGACAATAGATCAGCCTCTGTTTTTGTACGCATATAAAAGTAGGAACGACGACTATGCATAATGGTACATCCATTTTCATCGCGTAGGATCCATGAAGCACCACTAAAACAATTCGAGCTTAACCATGAGGACCCGACATTACATTTGAGGAAACCACGAGGTGGTTTTCTCCATCGGATCATTACAGTAATCCCATCATTGGCAATCTCTTTTGTTCCTGTGAATGTATCAAACCATGTTGATTCCTCTTCAAAGGCTTTCTTAGCAATAAATGAGGGCTCAATATCGTTGTTTTGAAATACAAAATTATTTCTAGCTTTCTAGATTTCCCATAACAACCATGGAAAAACATTCCTTATATGAACATCCATGGCTGTATTTTTGGCACTCTTGATAAGGTGCACAAAATTTAAAAATGTAGAATTCCGAGAAAAACCATTTAAAGGCAGTGGGAAATTAACTTGCTGCCATGTTGTACGTGCTTTCGTACATGTAAAAAAGAACATGACATATACTCTCTGCCTCATTACCACAGACCGTACATGTTGGGTCTATCGGAATACCCCGAGTAGTCAAACGCTGTTTGACCGCCAAAGCTCCAGATAAAGCCCGCCACATAAAATGTTTTATTTTTGGTGGGGCCTTAACTTTCCATAGTTCTTTCCATAATTGCTTTTCAATAGGGGTGAGAGAAGGACCTGAAGGATGATCATAATCTACCAAAGCCTCTAGTAATTTATATCCACTCCTAGTCGAATAAGATCCACTGGTTGTGAAACCCCATCTGACTGTATCTTCAAGTACCAATGATGGTTTCAGAAGTAAAATCCGTTGAACATCCTGTGCCGTAAAAGTTTGATGTAATAAATCAGTATCCCACTGATTCGACCCCTGGATAAATAAATCCGAAACTTTTAAGGTTAGATTTATGGAGCTATTTTCCCGGTACATTGGTGGCCGAGGAATGGTATCAATAATCCAGTTTTCCGCCCAAACATTGGTATCTGCCCCATTGCCAATGTGTCGATATAGACCTTTTTTAAGTAATTCTCAACCATGCATGATGCTTCGCCATGCAAATGATGGGCGCGTTCCCATACCACACTCCAGAAAATTTCCATTTTTGAAATATTTGCCTTTAAATATGCGTGAAACCAAAGAATCAGGATTATTCCAAATTCGCCATGCTTGTTTTCCAAGTAAAGCCTGATTGAACCGACCAATGTCATGAAACCCAAGACCTCCCTGTTCTTTTGGTTTACACAATTTTTCCCATGAAACCCAGGGAATCTTCCTTTTCTTATCTCCACTACTCCACCAAAATTCAATAATCGCACTCGTAAGGCGTTCACAGAGACCTTTTGGTAATCGAAAAACAGACATTGCATATATTGGGAGAGCTAAAGCAACCGATTTTATTAATACTTCCTTAGCCCCCAATGATAATGTTTTGGAATACCAACCCTGAAGTCTATCTTCCAATTTCTCTTTGTCAGAAGTGGTTTACTATTATATGTATAGATATAGTTTTTTTTTGTACTGATTATCCATAATACAAAAAAAAAAATTAAAAATAATTTTGTAAAATATTGATAGAGATATGATTATGGTGATCCATAGAAATGCGAGTAATGACGGTTGACTTTAGATAAATGATGAGAAGGAAGAAAGAAAAAAAAAACGAAGAAATATGAAAATTCATTGATTCGCAGGACGAATAGAAATAGCCATGAGTGAAGAAGGTCCCAAGCTTTTCACGAATAAACCAAAGAAGAAAGGTAAAAACAAAATGATAAAACAAACAGAAAAAAAAAAAAGGAGCTGTCGCTTTTTTCTTATCCAGCTCACTAAACGAATCTTTCACGTTTGGTATATGATTTGACTTGTCATCTCAATCAGATATAATCCTTTAGCTCAAGCACATTGAAGCCAACGGTTCCACCCTTCCTTCATCATCAACATCGTCTCCCTTGCAGCTTCTTATACGATGGATGGTGGTTCTGCCCCTCCTCCTCCTCTGCCTCCAAAGGAATCATTTGCTCGAAGGTACAAATTTGTCTGGCCGCTTCTCCTAACCGTCAATCTCGCCGTCGGAGGTAATTCAACCGTCTTACTGATTCCCATCCGTTTGAAATTAGAGCTTAAGAAATGGATCAAACGCAAAGCTCTTTCGACCTTTGGTGATCCGCTTCAGATTACTGTATATGTGTTTTTGCTACATAGATATTTGTGAATGCCTGAATCTTTTTGCTTGATATAGATATTTGTGATCTTACATTCTGTTTCGGTTAATTTCTCTAGTGATACACACACACGTTGACTCTGAGGTTTAACCAGTTTATCACATTCGTTTAGATGGAACATATGAGAACTAAAATTACACGATCCATATCTATGTAACCTATGGACTACTAAAATTACAATCTTTGCATATTTATTATATGGTGGCAAATTGCCTTCACAAACACCTTCATGACATACGCTCTTGATGGTTCTTCTTGGCCTTATTGCTTTTGCAGGTTACCTTTTCTTGAGGACTGAGAAAAAGGAAAGTGATCCTGCAAGTGAAGAGGTTGTTACTAAGTCAAGTTCAGCCGCAACTTCTGTTACCGTGGAAAAGCCTGTGTCTTCTGCGGTGGTTGCAGAGCCAGTGGTGATCAAAGCACGTGAGCCAATACCGGAGAAGCAACAACGTGAGCTCTTCAAATGGATGTTGGAGGAGAAAAGGAAAGTCAAACCGAGTAATGCGGAAGAGAAGAAGAAGATTGATGAAGAGAAAGCTATTCTGAAACAATTCATTGGATCCAAAACCATTCCTACCCTCTGATTGTATTTTGCAGTTTCTGTGTGTATTTGGTTTCAGCTTTTATTCTTGTGAATATCAAATATCTTTTGCTTTTCGAAACAAAACCATCAACTTTGGAATCTTAAACCTTCAAAACTTTCAAAATTTTCATTTAGGACCAATGGTTGATTACTATAATTAGTGGAATAGAATTAAGTGAAAAAAATGGTAACATTGTCCCCTTAAGCTATTTTTTTGTATCATTTTTTCCTATAATACCATTTATTAATTTCAAAAATAAATTAAATAAATAGTTTTAGAAACCAAAAAAAGCAAAAAAAAACACAACTAGTTATGAAACATCAATATCAATCTAGTGGTATTTTTCTCAAATTCTAAAAATGTATAAATTATTTTTTCAAATTATATTCTACATAAAGTAGAAGTGGCATTCTACAAATAAGAAAATGAAATCCACTTTTTTTATTGAATCTACTAAGTTTATAATACACATTCCACGCTTAAACTATCCTTCTAAAATCAGTAGAAAACGGATTCTACACATTGCTATAAATCTAAATATAAGTAGAAATCAGAATCTACAAATTATTATAAATCTAAAACCTGTAGAACCTGATTTCCAACCTTATTATTGTATTCTACATTTAGTAGAATACACATTCTACGGATAAGAATATTCTGTTCCGAAAATATAGGAAGATAATATTTGAAAAATATTTTTTGATAAAAAAAAAAAATAAGTAAAATCGATTTTCGATTTTTTTATTAAAAAAATCATTTTTCATTAGAAAAATAAAAAAAATAGAAAAAAAAACTGATTTGAGATCGACCGACTCTTTCTGGGATCGATCGATCCCGTCGTGTAGAGCAGTTTCTTTCGTCTTTTTTTTCGATTTGGAGATTTTTAATTTTAGGTTTTTTACGATTTTTAAGTGAATTTAAGGGTAGTATTGCCATTTAGAAAATATTTAGCCTAATGGAACATAAATTACTGGAGATTAGTATAAAAGGACAATGTTACCATTTTTTGACCTAAAAAAACTATTTTCTCAAAAAAAAAAACATCTTTTAATTCATTGTGTAGATAGTAGATTTGCCTCCAACATGTCTTCATACTTTCAGACTTTCAGTTGTTTAGTGGAACTAATTGAATTTTCTCGTGAAATTTTAGAACGTGCTTAATTTCAGAAACGTTATTCAACTAAAATGGTGATTTTTTTCTAAACATACAACAACTTGGACCCTTAATCTATACTCCTTTTATTTAAGTTGTAATATGTTTCTTTCGAACCGATTATATTTTGTGATTAACTATTTCCCATAACTTTTAATTAAGAAAACTTCAATAAATATATTTTTTTAGAAATTTATAATTTATCATTAAATAATGCATTGGAAATATAAAAATTGTATTTTTCTATAAATATTTTCTAAAACATGGATCTTTTCTAAATGAATGGAGTATTGATTTGTTGTTTTATTTACATACATACAAATCTAAGCGGTTATTAATATTTGAGATTTAGATTTATAACTTAAATTTATTCATTTAATTTAACATTTTAAGCTACATATAATTAAACACCTTAATCCATTTAATTTACGGTTAAATTTAAATATTATTAACCTTTTTATATGTTTTTTAATATTTGAACTTTACTGATCCTATGTTTACTAGGTCCATAATCAAAAACCAAAAGTCCAATTTATCCCGTTAGAAGCTTAATAATTATTGAAAATGGAAAGATTTTCAATAAAGTCATTTCATTATTTTTCTCTCAATACTACTGTAACATATGTTTCTTTCTCTCTTGAGAATGGTGTGCTACTACTGATAAATATTAAATTAAACCGAGTTATTCAAAATTGAGTAAAAAATTAAAATATTTAATAAAATACGAGTGAGATAAATCATTCACTACAAGAAATAAGGGTTTTAATAGCATTGTAAGATAGCGTTTAATTAGTGTGTGCTATTGTATGTTGGTGGGGGGATATATAATAGCGTTTCACCAACTAAAACGCTATTATATCCGGAGCGGCAAAATGAAATTTGGAAGCGCGTATTGTTTTGGGATTTTGATCTTTGTATTATAGCACGGAGAAAGAATAAACGTTATAGTATTTTCGACCGCGTATTTTTTATTAAAGCCCGGGAAATGAAAAAAAATTGGGGACGAAAATATAATTGACCAAAAAAAAGCAGTGTCTTCTTCGTACATGCATTTTCATTAATCCATTCTTCATTTTCTCTCCCAAAAATATTTGGGTGTTCTTCGTTCATCCCTTTCCGAATCAGCAATCGTCTTCTTTCAATCTCAGGTTCGTCTTTTATTAACCCTCTGATAGACTTCTACGAATCTCCTTTTCGTCGATCTCTGTCTCGATCGTACATTTATCTTACTCTTAATCGATTGCATGCATCATGAAAATTAATCGATTGCTTATTATCTCAATAGATCTGTATTGTCTTCGATTTGCAATTTACAGTAACAACCAAGTTGTGATTTTATTTTTTTAGGAACAAATTAACATGCCGAAAACACGAGGAGGAAAAACGCCTCAAGTTAGAAGAAGCAGACGTTCCCAAGGTTTGGAAGCAGAGACAGAATTCATTAACCCGGTCCGAACCAAAATCCGTAAGTTAAATAAGCCAAAGAAAGATGCTATTGAAGAAGAAACCGTTGAAATAAGACAAGAAGGTGGTGAAGAAGAAGGAACAAAGGTTTCTGAAGAAGTTCCTGAGTTTCATGAGGAGGAAGTTGATGGTGATGAAGTTGAAGTGGGAAAAGATGTTGGTTCTGAAGTTCTAGAGGTAGAAATAGAAGATGATGATAATGGAGTTACTGAAGAACATTCTAAGCCTACAGAAGCTGATAATGGAGTTACTACAGAACATTCTCAGCCTACAGAAGCTGATGATGAAGTTCCTGAAGAACCTTCTCATCCGACAGAAGCTGACATCGAAGCTGAGAATGGCATTTCAGGAGCAGAAGCACCTCCATCTGATGCAAAACCAAAGAAGAAAAGAGGACCCACAAAGATGCGTAAAGTGGCCAAGGATCCTGAAGAGAAGGTTTCTGTGACATTCACTGAGTTTGGCGAACATGTAGGTCCTAGATCAGTGACACTGTCATCGTTCCTTGGACCTCTTGTACGCGAACACGTGACTGTACTTCTTGATGATTGGAGGAATCTTGATCAGCATACAAAGGACACACTATGGGAGGAAATTCAGGTATATATATATATATATATATGCACTTAACTCTATTGATTATATGTCTTTGTAAGGATTATAATATGTGATGTTTGCATACATTACTGCAGGCGAGGTTCGATTTGAAAGAACAGTGGCAAAAAGATTCTGTCTTCAGACAGATGGGTTGTTTGTGGAGATGTGGAAACTCAAGGCTTGTATCACAACTTCGAGATGCAAAAAGTAGCACAGAGAGATTAGCTCTGAAACCAAGCAACATTCGATCTGTTCAAGTTTGGAGCTCTTGGGTTAAGAGTAGGACTTCATCAGCATTCAAGGTGACGTAAACAGAGCATTTGCTTTTTAAGTGTTTAATTTGGAGATTTGATTGATGAAATTTGCTTTAATGATATTCTAGGGAAAGAGTGACAAGTACAGAGCACTTAGGAGGGCTCAGATTCCTCACACTACTAGTCGTAGAGGAATGAATCCTCTAGCTTGTGAAATGGTAAGTAACAGTATGTAATTATATTAGATATAATGATAGAACATCTGATAATAAAACAATATATCACTTGTAGAAAAAAAAGAGTGCAGACCCTAATAAGATTAACCGGAGCAAGGTCTGGATAGCAGGTCACACTCACGCCGATGGTAGACCTGTTAGACCTGAGTTTGCTGAAACCATTGTAAGATTTCAATATCTGATTAATTAAGTTACTCTTTTTGGTATTGATAAGGACTATAACTTATATTGTATTGTCTCAGGACAAAATTATTTCACTTGATAGTCAAATGGACTCC